ACTCTTTCCTGCCTATGCAGGGGGTCGGACTTGATGATCTATTGAGGTCCCTTCCGACCCTAACATCTATGAATCTATGAATAAGCCTCTTAACACCTTTGGCTTTTATGTCACCATATTGTCACACACCTTCTGAATGACACACATACAAACTGGACTTTAGGCCACTGACCTTCTCATATGCCTGCACCTATCTGAAGGACTGAACTGATTCTATCTGTGCAAATGCATGGAAATAAGGTTAATGCTTTGCATTGTAACATACCTTCTTTGGCAAGAAATGGACTCCCACAGGATACTGGTCATTATTGGTCCACAGTTCAATCTGCGCCAACACCTGATTGGTGAAGGAGTTGCTCATAACAAAGCTGGGGTGACCCATGGCACAACCTAAATTAACTAGCCGGCCTTCTGCTAGAAGTATGATGTGATGACCATTCTTCAGTTTATACCGGTCCACCTTCACAGGAAACAAAGCAAATGCAAGTGAGAGATGATGACATAAGTAGCACCATATTTTATTCAAAGCTTGGCAACTTCCATCCCCAACCCCTACTATTCCTGCACTGATGACCCAATAGTAGACATGGACCTCAGACTTTGACTGTTATTAACACCGACATTACACACCATCCCAAGTCAAAAATGCCTGTCCATTCTCAGTAGCTTGTCTTGCACAGTATGGACCTTGGCAGCTGCTACTCATTAAAACAGACGATGATGGCATTTCTCTGGCTCTTTGGGTTTCTCAGCATGCCTACTGCCTAGAGAAGTGCTTCCCAAACTTTTCCTCAGCATAACCCCATTTATGACCCCATTTCCTCAGCATGGCCCCTCGCTCTCAAACTGCGGCCCCCCCACCCATCCAGATGCCCTCACTCCTGACCCACAGCCCCCTGGCCCTGCCAGTGCCTCTCAATCACCACCTGAAGCCCCCTGGCCCTGTGTGCCCCTCATTCTAACTCACAGAACCCCCTTACTCCTAACCCACAGCCCCCTGGCCCTGCCGGTGCCTCCCTCCCAAACTGCAGACCCCACTCCACACAGGTGCCCAACTCCCCACCCCCCCGCAGTGCCCAAGCCCCAGCTGCTGCCTGTGGGAGGCAGCAGGTGCTGCAGCCAGAGTCAAGTGTGGAGACTGGCTCCCACTACCGCACCCCTGTAGGTGGCACAGCTGTAGCAGAGCCTGTGGGGGGTGCAGGGACAGAATGCAGGCTGCCTGCTGTGGGCTTGGGGCTCCCTACATCGCTGCCTTCCCCTTGGGGGCTCCATGGCCCAGCAGGCGGGACCTGGCACAGGAGGGAGTGGCACGCCATGGCTGCCAAGCAAGGCACACCCTAGTGGGGGCACAACTCTGCACCACTACCACACTTCACCTTAGTGGCCATGATGGTATGGCACTCCGTTGTACACTGGGTCCCACTGCAAGTGCAGAAATCTTGCGACCCCAAGTGTTGATGTCGCAACCCCATTTGGGGTCACAACCCATAGTTTGGTAACCACTGCTCTAGGGGACTGCTCTTTAATGCAGGACCACATGTACCCCACATGGGCAGGGGTAGGCTGGATCTCAGCAAGCAACAATCCAAACACTGTAGTATTAGGATCACCTGTGTAAACCCCCACAACTCCACTGCATG